TAAAAAACAAAAAAAACGAATTAATGTAGATATTTGAAACTTTCACCAAACGTGAAATTTTAAAATCGTTTTGTAGTTGAAAATTTATAAAATAATCAATTTCATAGTTAAGAATTTACAATTTGATACAAAATGTATTTTAAGTAGCTCATATTGAAACAAAAAAATCCAAAAAAATAAATAACCCTGACTTTCTATGGACATTTAAAATCCAAATTTGAATAAAATTTATATATTTAAACAATGTTAATTAGTTTTTAGTTCTAAATTATTCACAGAGACTTTTTTATTTTATTATTTTATTTTAAGTTTAATATTTAGATTTTATTATACATATACGTATGTAATGTAATTTCCAAAATACATAGATTAATTTTATGCAATTATACCTACCTATACTATTTCACACTGTTTTATAGTAAAGTAATATCTCAAAAGTTAATAACAATATTATATAAAACTATATTATTATAATAATTAGATATGGATAATATTAATTAATAAATGCAATGTTTTTAGTAAAAATTTTGTCGACCTACCGTAATATTAATAGTAAGATAAATTACTTTTATGCAATATCAAATTATCTTATTATGAAATATACTAAATGATATTCATACCTATATTATCTATAAAGTATATTATAATATGATTTAAAATAAATACCGCTCAAAATCGTTTTTCGTATACAATTTGATAAACCTATCATAGAATTCAAATACACCTACTTGACACCTAATGTACAGCAATATAGTACCCGATTACTCACTTTTTTAATGTAACTTGAGTATACCTATTCTCAAATCGTGTTTTCATATCACTTCTCATCTATTTTTGTTTCTTTTTTCTTTTCAAACTACAACAAATATTTTTATTAGACACCGTTACGACGTTCTCAATTTTAGTTTTTTTATACATTCAACTATATTCAAGTTCAAAGTTCTGTTTCGTAATACTTTAACGTTGATAGTGTTCTTGCAATTTTTTTTTATTGCATTTCATTTTAATTCAATATTATTATGAACAATTTGTTTACAAATGTATAACTATCAAATAAAAAAAAAATGATTGACAGATAGATTATTATTTCAAATATTAAATACATATTATAAATATATTATAAACTTTATAATATAACATATTATGTAAGAAAAGATTTGTCTATAAAAGCCTAAGCTTGTGTCAGAATCGATAAGAATTATTTTTTCATACCTAAGAAAATATAAATGAAAAATTAATAATAACATCAACGAAAAGCAATAAAAATGTATTATGTATAGCTATAGCCTATATGCGTACACATTAACTAGATACACAGGAAATCCGAAATACTATAATATCATGTTCCTACTTATACTTATATTTTATACACATCTACCCATATTAAATGTATCTATATGCCCTGTATATATCATATTTGATCTATATTAAATATTTTTATTATAAAAAAAACACATTGCCGTAACCGAGTGAGGACAAAGGTTCGGATCACATGTTGATATTTTTTTATTACATCAGTGAATTTTGATTATCGACTATTGCAAACTCAAATTATCAAAACTTTAGAAAAACACCAATTATTTGAAGATGATGAAGCATCATGAAAAGCTCTTAATATTTATCAAAACATGGTAATAACTTCATTTGCTATAACTTTATAAGTTATGTAAGACATTATACATTTGGTGAAATGTGATTTAATTAAAGCCTTGGCATATGTTGAGACTGTTTTAAGTAGAGTTAAAGACACGCAAATCAATGTACAATAAATCAAACTTTCAAATAACTATTCCAAAAAGTAGAAAAAATGTTAAAGTTTATAGACGACAAGGATCGCATAAAAAATATCAAGACTTAGTGTTGGATTTTGAAATAATAAAACTAACGCGTATTGCTATTGATATTCCTTTTTACAATCATTTTACTCAACAATTAAAAAATTGATTTTCAAATTATAAAACAGATTTGTTTTATTTGTACTTACTACTTAATAATGATGAAAATGTGTGGTTAAATATCAAAATATAAAATTGTTTAACAGCTACTTACACAGATTTTATCTTGTATTATGACTATAGATTTCGATTCATTATCTATAAAAATGAAACTATGGAATTGAAGACGAATCACAAATTCTTAAAACGATTGTTGAGAACAACAGATATTTTTATATTTTTGAACTTAAAAATTATATATGACGGAAGCAAACTGGCCAGGTGAGACAATGAGAATAGTCTTACTGAGTCGCGGTATTTCTAAAGCGGCCGAACTGAACTATGTAAATTTTAAAGTTTAAGCTAATAATATTATAAAAATGATTTTCGAACAGATAAATCTATAATCGGAATAATTCGGGCATACTTACAATAAACTCATAAAATGATTGTAAATGCGGATTGTTAATTATAAATAATAATGAAATTATTAAATTAATTCGGCTCGGCAAATGTAAAAAATTAATATTAATATTTTCAAAAGTTTAATTTAATTTTAGGATTATAGTCACATATATTACTGATAAACTACTAGAACAATATTTTATCACCGTCGTATTAATTTGATTATGAGTAGATCAATTTATTGAATTATACTTCTGTATACATTTTTTTGAGCTTATATTATAATACAATAAACTATTAAGAAATTGAAATAATAAAGGTTCTGGCCAAAAAAAATTCGAATTGTCGGATGTCCTCCCATAGCCAGGCATTTCGAATTATCGAGAGGACCAAGCGTTTTGTTCGATTTATGGAGTTTTGTGGAGTCAATATTTCGTGATACATAAAAAATATTTTTGTTTGCGTAACTATAAAAACTACTAAAAGCCGGCAATAAATTAAACATACTTCCTGAAATTCAATAGTTATTATTACAAAAAAATTGTTGAATTCATAAGTTTCTGAACTAGGCTATTTAGACTTTTCACTCTTTCTATTTAATCTTATGTGTCTAAAATAAACATAAATGCAATGCAATTATTTCATGAAATTTATAAAACGATACCTTAATTTTAAGGTTCTTTAAAATTTAAAATCGATTTCCTAAATAGTATAGATATTTCTTTAAAGAATTTATACATACATTAAAAATTTAAACCCAACATTTTGATGTAGGTACGTGTTATTACTTATTATTTACCACCGCTTGTTGGACGTATGCAAAATATATTAGCTCGCTTGGTCGCTAATTTTAAAAATTGTTAAATACGCCGTGCAAAGTTCACACCAAGTACATATCACGACAAACTATTTTCATAGTCCCCTGGTAGACAGTGTACCCACGGCGCGTGTCACGAAACGGTTATGAAGTAGAGTGATAATGGTGTAAACTTTTTCGTTTCGCGCGCAAATTAAACAAGGAAAACCAAAAGTCTAACGGAATTAATATTGCCTATCTCGTTCCTAGTGCGTTGTATAGATATATTATTTAAAATTCAATGTTTTCAATATTTTTCAACATTATGTAATTCACTTTGTTTTTACATTGTTTTGTAACCTAATAATTTTATTTACAGGTATTTATATTTATACTGTTAAAAGTGAATTTAATTATTTAAATAATTTTAGTTATCTATTTAACTAGTCGAACCACTCTAACCTGTTCTTTTATATAAATAATAAATTAATCAAAAACGTAAAATTAGTGTTTATTTCTGTTCAAATCAAAAAAACAATCTTCAGTAGGTACAAAAAAGTTAAGTCTCCTTTACTTATGAGTTATAGACTACTATTACTCCAAAAAAAAAATAATATTAAATAAGCATACCTTAGGAACTAAGATCATTCCATATTTTTGTATTTATTCCTTTCTAGATACTCATCAATGAAATAAAACTTTGTTTATCTTCCATTGACTGCCATAATAAATGCCAACTAATGGAACTTTGGACATTAACAGAAACACAAATTTAATGTATATAAGTACTACAACTGTACACTGTTCTTTTACTGTCTATGGATGTAATTTGATGTAAGTGAACTTTGCCAAGTCAGGAATAAGCTTGAACTGGATTACCCTTGGGCAGCTAACTGAGAGACTAGCTGTCTTGTAAGGGGCAAAACTTTTTTAATGCTGGTATAGCTTACTAGTCTTGATATACCAATACATACCTTATGATTTTGTAAGTCAAAAAGTGATGAATATTAAATCTATAGATGAAAAAACAATTAATTAGTTTCATACTAAATTTCTGTATTTCAAATAATAACATTTTCATATTAATACAAAAAATATAAATTATTATCTAAAAATATTAAATTGTTTGTAGAATTTACTTAGTATACACTGAGTATAACGTTTCATACATACTTTAAAAGTCAACTCATCTAAAGGAAACAAATTTGTAAAAATTACTAAAACAATTTGTATTCCTCAAGCTCTATATATAGAAGACTGAAAAATAATGATAAAAGAGTTCATAATATCTATTATTAATTTATATTAAATAAAAATAATTATTACTAAAAATGTAAAGAAAAAAAGCATTAGAAACAATTTTTTTTTTTTTTATGCTCATCTTAAACGAGTCGATAAAGAGATTGTTAAAAATAATTATAATATAAAATTGTAACTAACAGTCGATGACATAGATAAATATATTAAAATATAATATAATGTACGTATGATCTCATAACTATTAATATTTTAGACAAAATATGAAAAAATAAAATAATTAATAAATAATAAATTTTTTCAAAATTCTTAATTTTACTACGAGTATATACACATTTTTCTAATTATACATAAAAATTTAGAACACATTGGCAAAGCGATATGAAAAATAAATAATAAAATGAACACATTCAATCATTTTTCATAAACTTATGTCTTACTTATTGTAGTAATGCTTTGTAAAAAATAAAATTAATACTAAAAGTCTTTTTTTTTAAAAAATGTTTACACACTGACTAACATTATTTTTTTTTTTTTTTTTTTTTGTTTAATGTTATATAAAAAAATCACATTGCACTTAGCAAAAATATTAAAATCACACAAACACACGTACATAATAAACTATATGCATTTGATTTTATATTAACGATCTATCTATTTATATAAAATAATTAAAACCACTAAAGCTGACGATTAAATGTTCTTTTTTGGAAACTTAGCTAGCAGTGCTTTTACTATTATATAGCATCACAAAAGTTATACAAAATTGCACTGGGATCTAAATTAATACTTAACACATCAGTTTTAAAATAGAAAAAAATTGGTTAAATGGTAAAAAAAAAATTAAAATTAAAACGCAAAAAAAAAAATAATCAGTAAAAAAAAAAAAATATCAACTTATTTACATGAAAGAATACATAAAGCAATTAATTAAAACCCAATCGTTTGAGCGTGTTTTTCCCAGCCAATCTTGGCATAGCATCATTGTGACAATTCCATGTTTTTGATTTGGACCTAAACTTTCTTAGATCTGAAGCATGGGCCGGATCACACATTGACCGATAGCTAGACGGTACACACAAGTGACTGTGTTGACTGAAAAACTTACAATATCCACCATCGAGCAAGTACATTTCTGGATAGTCCAAGTAAGGGTAGCACATACTGTTTTTTTGACGATCTGCATTACGCAGGTATCGTGACCTGTAATATAAAAATGCAGGTTATTAAAGGTATATTAAATGTGAACTAGCTTAATTATATTTAATTAGTACTTTTAATAGTTTATTAAAAGGTTTATAATAAAATAATTATTACCAAAATAATAATTGTGCTACATAAGTTAAGTACATTAAATTAAATTTTTTATGATCAATAAACAGTTTGTTCAACAGTTCAACTATTAAGGTAACTCAAAACATGTATAATGCATGACCTTTAATTTTATTATAGTTTATTTTTACAGTAAAGGATAAAATATTATATTTATCTTAAAATCTTTTTATTTTTAAAATAATATTGTCGTGTACATAGAACAAAACATTTTTTTTTTTAGTTTTACGTTTTACTCCATTACCCCCACCCTTTCTTTAAATTAAATTTATTTTTTAAACACCAGTACAATTCAAAAAAATTTTATTTTGTTACACATACTCAGAAAATACTGATTTTTCAAAAACATTAGATAAGAGTAATACATTTTAAGAAGTACAAAAAAAACCAAAATAAAATTCAGGATCCAAGTATTTTATATGCCTTTTATAGTTGATATTTTTTGCAATTAAAAAATAACTTATAATTTAAAAACAATTTTTTTTTTTTTTTTTTGTTGATCATAAGCTTGATAACTAGGGCCATTAGCTGTGATAAAGTACATAAAATTTGAGTTTTTGTGTAGTGTTTATAAGATTATTGAATAAGTTATTACTAAGACTTATGACTTATAACCACCAACATACTGGCCACAAAAAAAAAAAAAAAAATAACAAATGTTACATTAGTTAAATGTATACTTCAGTTTTAGTAGCCAATTATTTTTAATATTTAAGATAAATTATAAATAGTAATGATACAATAAAAAAAATTTTCAGTGAATTAATCATTTTTACAAGTCCAGACTGACTTTTATGTACTTAAAAAGCCTAATATATTCCATCTAATATTTAAAGAATATTTTATAGTAGCATTTTAAGTTTGAATATGTGCCCTTATTTCTTAGTCCTTATTAAGTTGAATAACTCAAAAAAAAAAAAAAAATAAAATAAATAAAAACACACACTATTTAATTATTACATAATTTTAGTCTATAATAATTATTAATTGTATAATTAATGATAAAATATATTAAATTACTCACAGACTTGGACCTCTTTCTGATGAAAATTCACAGTGAAATATCAAAACATTTCTCTTTGCATTAATTTTATCAGTTTTATGAGATTTTTTACCCAACTTGTTTTCGGTATAATCTTTGAATAGTTGCTCTTTAGTAAATATGTTAATTGCACCTCTTATATGACCACCTTCATACTCGTAAGGATATCTACAAATGAGATTAATTAATAGGTACAGTTTTACTAACAATATAATATTTGAATTACCGGCAATCTATAATTAGATAGGAGTCAATACAATCGTCGAATGAGCCTTCCAATAAATGAGCTAATGTATCAGCAGATATGCTACGGAGATCTGCATGACGAGCAAATGATAACAAAGGCAATATAAATGATTGACTGAAGTCACCAATTAAATTTGATCCATTATCCTCTACAAAAATAACAAGTTTTAAAATAATAGTGTATTTTTAATAATACAAACCAAATAAAATTATTTAGGACAAGGATACTTATAAACAGGATTCGGACTTTAAGTACTTGCTTATATTATTTATTTCTATATCTATTGTATCTATTGATTTAATATAATATTTAGCAGAATGTTATTTAAATTTATGTTATTACAATTTCAAAATGTTTATTTTGGTAGTCTATCTTTAAAATACTTTTTACTAGCTATATGTCATATATTCTACTTAATACCACGAAAACAATAGCCATTAATAAACTAATTTATTTTTCCAATCTTAGAAAAATATACTTAACACAAGCACAAATACTTTCTATTTAATATTCTAAGAGGATAAACTTGAACGTTTTTAAAAAGAGATTCTATTTATTTACTTTTTGGAAGTTTAAGATAATGTTTATTAACTGCTTTTTTTTGAGTCCATTAAATTTTAAACTATGTATTATAATAATTTAAGAGGATATCAACGAACTACTTGTTTTTCCTTTCTAGCCCACTTATATGATAAGACATTTATTATTTAACAAAACCAACCTTGTACTATAAGAATTAATATTAGAATGACTTGATTTATAAAAAAAATGTATGGGCAAAAATATTATCTAAAATAATAGTCAATCGACTCTAATCTTAAAGCTACTACATACAACTAGTTTAGTTCAATTCCAATTTGATATGAGTAGTATATAGTGCATGGGTTAAAGATAGAAAAAATTAGGGCATTGATATCTCCGTAAGGAGCAAACTAATGAAAAATTATCCTCACATAATTTAGTATACATTTAAAAAAAATTATCATTGTTAATATTTAAAAAAATATATCATGTATAAAAAATGATAAAATAAATATTTGAAGAAAATTTTAAACATCTACCGTTATTTAATATTTTTATAAAAAATATTTTGCTTTAGAGCACAGTTAAAATAAAGATAAAAGTTAAAAAAACCAAAATAAAATAATAAAAAAATAATTAGACATTACTTTCAATTATATAAATTAACTAAAGAAAATGAATGTAACGAATTATATCACAAAAAAAAATTTAACAAATTAACAAATTTAAATTTAAACTTCTCAGTTAATGTATTTATTTTGTAATTATTTGAGTTAAACAAAAAAAAAAAAACCGGATTGCTTCATTTTAAATAAATTACTTACCTTTCTCAAATGCAGCTTTTATAGTCGCTTCATTAGTTGAAAATGATCTCTGTAGCTTGGAAACACTATTTTTGCAAAATCCATAGTCAAAGAGTGTAGTTTTTTTATGTGATACAGGAGCAGTTAAAGATGTATTTCCGGTGTCTAATTTTGGAGAATTAAATGACATTGAAAGATCAACATTAGGTTTTAACCTTTTGGATACAATTGATGACTCTGACGGACATTCAAAATCATTAAATAATTTACGTTTTTTCACAACATCAGCGTTTTTAACTAAATCCTATTTATAAAAATATACAATTGTTAATCGAAAAAAAAATATTATAATATGCATTAATACAATTAATACTTACAATTTTTCGAGGTGTCTCTGAAGCATACTTAGAATTTTTTCGTCTTACAATAGGTTTTATTACCGGTGAATGTAACGCAAAAATATCTCCATCAATCAAAGCATTGAATTCAGTTGGAAGTGAATCTTGAGACTTTAATTATCAGTTAATAATTAAATGACTGTGTTAAAATATGTATTATTATTTATTATTTACCAATCTTGCTGGAGAATTAACATTGTCTACAAATGGATCATCTATTTCTGAGATTTCTTTGTGACAAGCAATTGAATCTGACCGAGAAACAGTCAATGAAGAATTTTTCTTTTCAATTACATTTTTGGGTTCGAATCTACAAGCACAGTAAAATATATTAATTAACTGAAAATATAAATTCAAATTAAATTACTGATTGTAGGAAAATACCTGGTTAATGATCTGGAATCTTCAGAGAGCACGGAAAAAAAACCACTGTCTTGTGAATTTGGATCATGATCTTCCAACGGGTGACGACCTCTTGTATTACGACTGTGCATCAAAAACTACAAAATAATAGTATACAAAATTATTATTAATTACTTATTGGGTAAGACTATATTCAAATATTATTTCATACACTTGTTAGAATAAAAGTTTAAATAATTATAATAAAATAAAATTACTGTTGGACTTGACTGAGATGGTGATAACATTGTTTTAGAAACTATTACATCGGCACATTTAGTTGTGTTTTCCTTCTCAACTGGACTATTTATCATTTTTTGAAGCATCAAACATTTCATAGGACTATCATTAATAATTTTTGAACTTCCTTTGAATAATCTTTAATAAAATAATACATACGTAAGTCATGAAAATATTCAATGTAGTACAACCATATATAAAAGGCAGTATTTACCTGGTATTTGATGAGCTGTTTATATCGTGATCTATTGTTTCATTTATTCAATTGAAAATAAAAAAAAATAATTTTAATTAAACAAAATACGCAACAATAAAATTATTTTAACACAAATTATTTTTTAAGTCAATATCTCTTAACATACTATCTTAGTAATCAAAAAATTTAAATTCATTAAAATAGTTACAATTAGCGATAAATGTATATATTTTGTATATCAATCAGAATATATACCCAAAATAAAAAAGAGAGAAAGAGAAACACGAGTAAATAAACGTTATCATCAATATAAGTAATAATAATCATGGATTTTTATTCAAGTCAGTAATTGATTCTACTTAATAGATAGAATTTTTTGAAATATTTTGAAACTTATATTAATAATAGTTATAAAGTACCAAGTATAGTACTATAGTATACACAATATTATTTACAACATAGATACTTATTGTATCTATACATAATTAGGTTTAAAACAATCAAATTATAAATATATTAAATGGTTAAAAATAGGTGTTGTCACATTGATCAGTTTAAATTATTAAATAACAATAAAAAAAAAAAACAAGTTTTAAAATTTAAAATTTACCGTGGAGTATGTTATCATAACATTTTTTCGGAGTTTCACTGGATTCGGATAAAGTTAGTCTACGTCTGACTGTCAGTGATGTTCCAAGACAATTAGCTAAATTTGTCATTGGTGATGACACCTCTTGAATTGACTTCCTATCATTGAATGAACTCATTGTATCACTTGTTATTTACTGACTTAAATGTATTGAGCAGATAGTATAAACTGTCAAAAAAAAATAGAAATTTAATTATTTATAATGATTAAAAGGAAACACAAATATATTATAATATGTAATAACTAAATAGATTAATAAAGAAATTAATATAATTTAGCTAATGGCTACTACCTATAAACTGTTAATTACAATTTTATACATTTAATTAAACACATACCTACAAGTCGTATCAATTCCAAAAAATAATTAATTTTACATATACTATAATTTTGGCAATTTTATTGAGGTTTGTGCTAATGATAAATATTATTTAAATTGTTTGCTTCCGTGAGATATTAAATAATCACTAATAAAATACATTATTTATTGTAAATAATGTAAGGGGTTTTGGGGAGTTTTTTCAATTGAAATGTTTATTTTGAGTATAAGTAGAAAGGCAGAAAGATATTAATACACTAAATCTTTTTTGTAAAGCTAAAGCAATGTATTAGTTTTATACGACCATTTTATAATAGATTGGAAAGCAGACAATGTTATTCATCTACCCAATACCCAATAAAGGTATTTACTGCCATATTCTTAACTCAATATTTTTCATAGTAAATACTAATTATCAAATGATTGATTAGTGATATCAAATCAACTACTACCATTTAAAAAAATAAAAAGGCAGAGGCTTCTTAATAGCTACTGGACATTCTTAACAAGTTAAAATGTGGAATGAAAAATCAAAAAATATTCATAACTCTTTTCCTGCCCCTTAAAATGTTTTTAAATTGACTTTGAAGTAGGTATATAATTCAAAACATTTATAAGACAACTGTATTTTTATTCTTCATAATATTCAAATAATCAGGATACAACTATATATAATTCCTTACTGTGAAATTTAATCTTACTAATGTAAAATTAGTGATTAATTAAAAATAAAAATGGCTAAAAATAAATGGTTAAGTAAATGTAAAGCATAAAACATTTAGAATATTCTTACTTACCAAAAAAATAAAGCATACCTACTTAATTTTCAAGAAAATCAATAGCTCATTCACTTTGTATAATAAACAAAATATAGGTAGTTATATCTTACATAATTGCAATTGTTTCAAATAACTATATTTTTTTATACCTTTAAAAAAAATGTGGATATTTTAAAGCTTAAACTGTACTTATTGTACAAATACAAGCATATTTTTAGACATAATTCAACTATTAAATCATGATAAAATGTTTAACTCTATAAAAAATAAAACAATTAAATGTTTATTTTATAAAAACAATTTGAAGAAAAATAAAATACATAAATACTAAAAATTATATTTATAGCAGTAATTTAAGTATGCATATTAAGTAGAACCTTTACTTATAATAACTTACTGAAAATACGTTTAATATCTAACTTAATCAAAATAATAACCATGAGCAAACAATTATAAATTTCAAAAATATACTCTGTAAATTTACAATAATTTGATTGAATAAATTTATAATAGCAAATTATTAACATATTTGATCCAAACATTGTTTGACTGGTTCATAATTCTTGATTATATCTAGTTTGCTGCTATTATAGATCAATTTTACTGCTATGTCAAAGATATTTTTTAAATTAGATAGGTACTCTTATGAATAAGATTAGATATGTCATACCATAAAGTAGGTAGGCTTATCAGCCAATTATTCAATTTTTACAAAAGAAAAAAAGAAAATCTAAGCTAACTTATCACCATAAATTAATGTAGATAGGTTAAAAGAAATTAGTGAAATAAAATCAAAAATTAGAGTAAACATTAAGCATGAAACTATGACGATGACCGATGGCATGTGTCTGTAGGTATGCGACTTACACATAGATAATTGGTTTTTATAATACTTCAGCTCGTGTTTAATTTTGCACAAACCATTTCAGACACAAACGAAACGATCGGGACTACCTTTCCAGTTCGAGTTCCGCTATCAGGACCGTCTAACGAGAACTCTTCATGCTATTTTTCATTCGAATATACTCACTGTTTACAAAATGTCAACTGCGACTACTGCTGTTGCACAGACCGACGACCGGCGAACGCCACATCGTTTCGTCCGCGACAACACCAACCGTCGGAAAGTTCAGTCGTCGTCGTCGTTGTCGTTTACGCTTCTCGCGGGTGGTGCGGGAAGCCGAGAAAACAAATCGCGATAAAATGAAAAACGAGAAAAACACTGTGAAAGGCGACAAAACGACGAAAGAACTCGGCACCGGACGGCCGCCGTCGGAGGATATAACGATATTAATAATATTATTACAGCGACAGCGCTCGGGCCGGTCCGTTTCGGTTTTTTTCTTTTCAAAAAGTTTAACGGGCGACGTGGCTGCGGCGGCGGAGGCTGAGGTGTACGGCGGTGGCGGTGGTGGTGGTGGTAGCTGCTGCTGGTGCGCCTCGGGCCTACGATCGTCAGTGTGAACCAGTACGGACGGACGGGATCGGCTACGGGCCACCGCCACCAGACGGCGTCCTGGTCGTTGCTTTTCGGCGGCGGCGGGGACGAACGACCATATGTCGTCGTGTCGTCACGGACTCACGGTCGCGGTCGTCGATGGGCTGGCGGGTGACAGGGAGGAAGAGTGCACAAAGACTACACAACACGGTTCGCGCTTTTCCGCGGTCGGTTCGACAACCCCTAGCTGCGACGGACACGAATCTATTCGGCTATTATCATCGTCATTATTATTATTATTATGAATTACAGTACGATTTTATGCGTTTCGCAATAGCGCGCGTGCTGCCCGACCACGCCAATCCGTTACCGCGGTAATGGTATAGTATCGCACAATACCTTCGTATTATTACAAGGACCCGCCGTGTGGCATGTGACGATTTTTTTATTCGCAAATCACCCGCACGCCACCGCTGGCCGTATTACAATGCCAATGGCCTTTCGACGTCGCGGTCGAGTTGTAGGTACCTACTCGCTTCCACCGCGGTATATCCTGCACGCCGTTGTTTAAAAGGGTGCCCCGCACATATTTTATTTAGGGGTAGAGCAACCGGGCCCGAATCTTTGCGTCGGGGGTGCCGAAATTTTGGCTATACGTATAAAATAGGTACACGCCGAGACATGATTCGCGGTGCGCATGACTTGTGACGATAATATTGCGTATTACGGTTGCTAAAGACTATAATATATTATAAATTATGGAGAGTAGAGAACGTGTTCGTTTAAAGCCAACTCCGAGACGATAAAATTTATAGTGAAATCAAGAATTAGAAAAAAAATGCCTAATCGCCACCGACTTTATTTGCGAGGTGCAGTGCAGACAAATAAGACCACTAAATGCAGAATATCGCTTCAAAAAATAAACTTCAACAATTTGGAAATAAAGTTCGAAATGTTTATAACATTATGGACAAAAATAGTTTTAAAAAGTCGACTGAAATCCAACTATATATACTACATATTATTGTAACCGTTTAAAAGTATATATCGCTTCCATACCGGTGTATTGACGCAAAATTATTAACCACGTTACTTGCTTGATCATTTCTCATAATCTCCATATTGCATTTAAGCCTATTACATATAGATTATAAACTATAATATTATGACCTAATTTTTAGATTTATATAATTGATGTGTTTAAATCATCAAATATGTTCGCAGATCTGACATTAATGCTCGAAATATTATCCTGATTTACTCTTCATTGTATAAATACTTATATATTCTATAAAAGATATTACCGATTAAACGCATCTGATCTCTGTATAGTGTATACTGTATATAGTCTATATTGCAATCCACCGACCACCGTCTATTTAGCATAGTTATCTAGCGCCTAGTATTGTGGACTGTGGTGTATTATGTACAATTTATTTGTGTAAATTTATCACAAAACACTTAAAAAATCATAAATAATAATAAAATTATACGAATGGAGTAAGAAACAGCTAAGTGTGTACGAAATCAATGACCGAATTATCTATAGTATACATATATTAAAATTTATAATATCACACAATTTAGATTTTTCATGCTGATATATTTTAAATATTAATAATTAATATTCGATAACATTCGATATGGCTATCAATATGTAATACATAAATTACGCATTTAGTGACCTATATTATTTAAAATATAATATTGATATTATTATAATAAAATATGTAGGTACCTATACTTAAAATTCAAATTGCAACGGGCCTATATGCTCGTAAGACTCCTGCTAACTTTACCGACATTACTTTCGTACCTACTACGCAACATACTAATGAATACAATTACGACGATTGTACAAACGATTATAATAACAATAATTTCATACAAAGAATAATATCAACAACAACAATAAATATAATTTATGTTTAGTGAATGATACAATGTACATAATTAGGTACCCAATACCTATTGACGTATCACATAAAACCATGATTGAAACCGTTATTATATGATATAATATGTTTATCGTTTATCGATAAGTATTCTGTACGCATTTATATAAATATAATATTAATTATTAACTATTATTATAATAATTTATATGATGATGCTATATAATATGTTCATATGATTTTTTTTATCCAGTGTTTAATCGTAGACGATTGTAAAGGAAAACGACGTCTAATAAAAAAACTCGTCTTTGCGTGGGTCGATCGTAATAATAATATACATTATAAAATGTGGTTCCATTTTTAACGGACAACAGCACTCATGACGGAGACGTCGTTCCGGACGTTCCGATAGTAATATTATACATGTATTGATGTATACAAAATATTTATTATGTACATACATATATATACTATATATATGTACTATACATACGGTATAGTCTCGGACGTATCATGTACTGTATAGGTACTTCCTCTGGCTACTCATGACCATTTTTCGATCCAACGCGCGCTTAATCGAACGGTTTCACGACTCGCATCTGATTACCTTCTTCTACACTAACATTGTATGTAGTATGTACCTATGTATATTGTTTCATAATATAACACTATACTCTTCGTAGATTAAACCTTGCTAAGACAGTGGAAGCGCAGCTATCCACGCAGCTATATTATTATGATTTATGATGCGAAGCGCATGCGCATTTCTGTGAATATTTTCAAACGCATCGCTACGAAAAATACGTTAAGACGCTTGTTGTACGTTGTAGAGCGGTACCTGCATACGTCTTGTAGCAACATAATAGCAGTGCAGCATTGTGATCGTGGGCGTGTGTATACTGTGTATAGAAGTGTAAAATATAAATTATATACAAAATACGTATTTTACGACCGGGACGAAATCGCATCGGAATTTCGAGAGAAAAAAAGTATAATAATTTATAAACGGGATATATATGTAGGTTTTACATGACAATAATACACTTTTACTTATATCGTTGTCGAGATCCCGAAAAAAAGGCCGACGATATATTTTTATGTACATCGTTTGAAACTCGTCTTGTGTATTATATGTTATATATGTGTTTTAGGTATATATAGAACGCGATCGATGTACGTTAGCGAACAATATGTGTATATATACATATATAGTAGATATTTTTATAATATAATATGTTATACTACAATCTAAAACATTTTAACGGCGTGCGAGGCGACTGTTTGTGCGTAAATATCACAAGCTTTGGGGGAGGTTGTCAAAAAGAAACCGTTTTTTTTTTTTTTTTTGAAAAAAATTTCCCCGAACTACATATGGACCTTAAAATCACACAGATATATATGTAGGTATTATATCGGGTGCGTCTTGGCCTCGAGGGTGAATGGGAACGGTATCGGAGCATATAGATATTTGGGGCGACCGAACGAGAACTACGACGCGGGCGCCTTATAACAAACATTATACGCATATACGAACGACAAGGGTAGCCAGGGTAGCCGGTAGGTAATATATTATTATATGTAGTCACGACTTACGACTATGCACCGGTTCGGGTTTTACACTACACACCGTGTGTATGTGTTTGTGTATATATATATATTTATATACATGTAATATATGTGTATGTTAAGGGGTGCGGTGGGATTCGTGGCGCGTAGGTAATCGCACTAACACATGTATAAATATAATATATATTATATACTTGTGTATTGAATATACAGAGATTTCGTTGGACAACGTATAACAATCGAACTGCAGACGGTTATTTTTCAAAAGTGATTTTTTCGATCATGAAAAGAATGTTGAAATACTGAAGATGGTGATCTTAGGTTTTTCTATGATAAATTTAAGTACTTATATATTTATATATAAATATATATACATATACGTGATTTTCTCTTAAAAATGTACATTTTATCGCGTATAAGTGCTTAGGTTAGGTTTTATCCTTAGTCCTGCAAGTTAATTGATAACAAATGAATTAAATTATTATTACTAGTTAAATATATATTGTACAACTCTTACAAGTATGCGTACCTATACGTTATTAGGCAACAGCGCATCGGTCGTATCACGCGCTTTGGTTAATCTATATAACTATATTAATATATTATTATATAATTATACACCAATAAAAAATGGGATTACAAGGTTTCTGCAGATAAAGATTTTATCAAAAAATACAATAATCAAACAATGATATTTCAAATTAAATATTATATTATAAAATTTATATTTTAATAACAAATAATACCTGCTCATATAAGTATATTATATATACTTACGTAAAGGATAAACTAGGACATATGGAAACTAAATATCTAACTATAAACAATAAATATCAAGAAAATATCGGTAGTTTGTATATTATACATACGTGTTATTACACATAGATGAGATATTGGTTCACGCACGAATGTCGTATAAACAACAATAATATGTTGCTTGTACAGTTGTACACGTAATGTTTGTCTTTTTTGACGTTTCCGGTTTAACAAAGTTATTACTTCACTTGAGCGATAGTGCGTGTGTATTAAAAAATAATAGGTAATATAATTATATCATATACTAATAATAAGCCTACTTGATATGATAATATAAAAATGTAAAATATTTTTTTTTATTATTTAGTTATAGCTATTTTACAATGTTTTTACCGATTCAGGTATATGAATATTTTCTTTATTTACATTTAAATAGTAATACTTATATATTTATTCCTAAATGAAAACATGCGTTTTCTAAACGATTTTTTGTCATTCTGAGTATTTAATATTTTTGTTTATTTTAACTAGTAAATTTAATAATATACTGATATAGCAATTGACAATTGATTATATAATTTATAAATTATAATAGGTACTTTGCATAATTAAATATAAAATATTATTTAATCATTGATATATTAAATTATATTTGTCAATAGAAACTTGATAAAATCAATTAAAAGTCTTAATATTTTTATGATTGTTAAAGATAAATTTACAAGTTATGAAAACATTTTATTAGTTTCGTTTGTATCGATGTTTAACTCATTTAAAATAAGAACATTATTTCTGAAATTTTTT